AAATTAAAAAAATATATATGTTTATTACTGTTTGGGAAACAACTTTGCTTTTATAATTATGAACTTACTTGTGTGAATTCATTAAATTATTTTTTTACCAAAATTTTTTAAATTATCAATCTATCAAAAAGAAACACACTTTTACCTTGAAATATTTTTTTTTCTCTCAAAACTAGGATGTTTTTTTAATTTGATGCCTTTGAGTAGGAGATGCATGGTGTTCAAATACTATGTGGTTTGGGAAGAGGGGAATGTTGGTGAACACAAACTGGAAAGGACCTGGAGGACAGCAGATGACTTCAGACCACAGCTCTGACACCTGTGACAGCATCAGGGTGAGGAAGAATCAGATAAGAAGAACCGCTAATCACAGACAGATCTGAGAGTTTCTCCTCAGGCTGAGTGGCTCTTGGATCCCTGTGTGGCCATTAGACAGATGCTAGCTCCTACATAATTACCTTGCAGTAATCTCCCCAGAGTCCAGCATTGCCAGTGGCCAGCCCAAAAAGGGACTGTCAAGCAAAAATTGTCTCCCTGCAGTATTCCCTGGAAGATGTGTGAAGAGCACTTTTTTGTTGACTACCCTTGGCCTTTAGTGATCTATTCATCCTTAGGACAGAGAAAGTTCCCAGCTCTCTTTGGTTGCTACTCCACCTCGTCCCCAAATGAATTCAAAGCTGAGGTTTGAATCAGGGGTCCAGATTCCTTGCTGTCTACAATCCTTGCAGCCACTTAGACACCCCCTCTTCTGTGACCTGCATGGGCAAGAGGTCCTCAGGCCTGCAGCATCCTCTTATACCACTATATCCCCTCCTGTGCCCAATTCTTGCTGATCACATAACTTGGGATAGTCCTCGAATTCCATATATATCTCTAATGTCTCATGCATGTGAGACATCTCTAATCATATCTTAAAAATGCATGAGTAACCACTACAAAAATCAAAAAATTAATATGAATGACAGAATAAATAAATGATTGTTTTATGTCCCCTATGTCCACTATTGGTGGATTTTTTTAACTTTTGTATTTTTTACATGTGGGAGAAAATGCAACCCTGATTACCTCTGAATGTACTAAATAATTTCCACCTTTTCATACCATGGTCACAAAATGACAAATATGCATCCATATCCCAGAAGTTCCTCAGACCAGATATCTAGCCTTACCTTTGTCAGTCTCAGCAGAGGTGTTGCCTCCACCTACCTTATACTCTGGTCCATCTATCCTCTCTCACCTGAGTTTCAGTGGGCCCAGGTGTCCCACATAAAAGCCATGTGCCTTTTTATTTCACTTCCAGCCATAACAACTACACAGAAATGTTCTCTGTTGGCTCTTTCCTTCCCCATTATCTTCTAGAATGCCCTCCCCAAACCTAACTAGAGCCAATACTCTAAAAGAGACATAATAATGGGCACAGACCTGGTTATACATCTCCAGGTAATTGAGGAAGTCACCTGGAGGACCTAAACCTTGTTTCTTCTGTACCCTGACCCTTGCCCACCTTCGCACCCATAGTTGCCACTTCTCTTCATATTGCTCTAGAAAGAGTAAACATTTCTAGTGCTTTATTGTCTTCCCCATGAACATCTGTTTCACCCTCAGTGAACTTCATTCCCACTCAGAATCCAGAGAAAATGCCCTTTCCTCAGAGACCTTCACATGAACACATCTTCTCCATTTCTGCTCCAGGCATTTTGTTCTCAGATTCATAGTGGTTTGAAGGCTCTTCTGTCATTTTTCCATGTTTGCCATGGAAAATAGTTCAGCACCAACAGAGGAAGGTGTAACTGATGGTTACCTCAGGATTGCACCTCTGTTGTCCTTGCTAGATATTTAAGTGATACAAAAAGGCATCCAAGTAGCAAAGTGGAGGCACATTTGGTTTATTGTGAAAGAAGTTTGCTTTGAGACCAGAAGGTGGCATGACAAGAACATCTCTTAGGGCAAGAGGATTCACAGGAGATTAATCACACCTGGGCAGCCTTCAACTGACTTGAGATCCCAGAGCTGGGCCCTTTGGTTTCTGGGTGACTTGGTACACAGGTCCCTCAAGACCTGGCAGACAGCTCATGCACATAATAACCCCAGGTGTGGTTCCATCAGTTGGTTCCTCTTAAGTTCACTTATTAGGCAAATTAGTGCACCATGCAAGCCTTCCAGGGACTAGGACCCATGAGGGAGAGACAAAGGATCAGAATACATTTGCATGAGCTGCCCCTCCTCTGTGAGACCAGTGGGGCTAGTATAAGACAGGCCTGGGTAGCCCTACCACAGAGGTGAGGCTGAAGAAGGGGCTAGGTCCACCATGGTCTTGACTCCTCTCTTCCTCTTGCTTTTCTCTCAATGTACAGGTAGGGACAGTTTTCAGAAGCCCAATAGAGACCCTCAACCTGGGTCATTAGCCTCTGACTCAGATCCTCAAGCCACTGCCCTCTGGCTTTTCCCTTCACTATATTGTGTCTGTGTTCACAGGTTCCCTGTCTCAGCCTGTGCTGACTCAGCCACCATACATCTCTGCATCCCTGGGATCAACAGCCAAACTCACCTGCACCCTGAGCAGTGACCTCAGTGTTAGTGGTAAAAACATGTATTGGTACCAGCAGAAGCCAGGGAGCCCTCCCCAGCTCTACCTGTACTACTACTCAGACTCAGACAAGAAGCTGGGGCCAGGGGTCCCCAATAGATTCTCTGGATCTAAAGATGCTTCAACCAACACTGCATTTTTGCACATTTCTGGGCTCCAGCCTGAGGATGAGGCCAATTACTACTGTCAGGTGTATGAAAGCAGTGCTACCAAAGTGGTACAGACAGATGAGGAAGTGGGACAAAAACCCTCAACCACTGAAATTCTAAGCTTATGTCAATTTTACTAGGGTAAACAAGAACCTCACTGATTTCAAAATAACACAAGATATTGGAATCTGGTTTCCATGGTGCCACAAAGGTGAAAATCATCCAGATTATCATCTGTAATTATTATCCCTCTATATTATAAAAATTTATTTAAATTGTAAAGTATGCATATGTACTATATATTACATGTATAACCATTTTAACGAACTCAGTGATTTTTCCTGTAAATTATACAATGAATTCTCTTTGGAAAAAAAGGCACCAGGAAATAAACATGTAAACAGTCATAATGCCACTGCAGAATGACACCCAGGGAGCTGTTTAGTTTTCTATTTTTGTTCGCTTTTTTAAATTCCTTAATTTTACAGTCATGCAAACAATCCATCTGAATAAAAAAAAATCAGATGTTTTGGTCCAAATACTTTGCTCCAAAGTAAAAGGAAGAAGAGTTTTAAGCATGAGTTTTCTTGCTCATTATATTTTCAAACCCTAATGTTAACATATTTAAATATGCCAAAGCCTCAAAACATGAGAAGTATAAAATAGATTTATTTTACTTATCTAATAATTTTAAATCTGCTTGAAATAATACTCTCCTTTTAATTCCTCCAGCTCAATGATCTTAGAAACTGCACTTTAATTCAATGAGGGGTAGTTAAAATTGTAGATTAATATCCTCACATGGCTTATCCCTCCTTTCAAGAAAGGGTTTTTGAATGTTTCAGTGCAATAAAGTACATCTGGGCTTTAGTGAATAATTGACCATGTTCTACCTTAAAAACTTTCAATATTTTTTTTTATTTCCATGTTAACTTTCAGGCATGTAGACTTACAGTGAACCACAGCTTCAGAATTTTTTTAATTTTCATGTCAGTATCATCATGGGCTATTTTAATCATTCCAGTAGATAATCTCATTGTTATTATAATAGGCATGCTTAGTGGCAGGTGACCTAAGGAATTCTTCTTTTGCACCTAGAGCTGCCAGCATCCAGAAATGTTTAGCTTCCATCTGAAGTCTTCTTTCCTGAATGTTAGTCATTTTAGAAAAGTTGAAGCTCAGTTTTAAGAGTTCTTCATGTGTTCTTGGTTCACATTTGGAGATACAAATAAAGAAAAGGAAAATCAAAACAAGACTGTCTGTATCTATTGGTGGATTTGGGCCCAGTTGTTCCATGGAGAAGAAGAGAATTTAACTTCCTAATCTGCATTTAAGTGGAGAAAACACCCTTGTCCAGCTCTTTTTTACACTGAAGGATAGGTGGAGCTTGACCTGTGGAAAGAAAGAATCTGCAGAAATTTAACAGTTGTTCCAACTGCGAGAATCATCAGTGAAAATGGAGAGACAAATTCTCATTAAAAATCAAGCAAGTCACAAAGGGACCTACATTACAGCTAAAGGAAAGAAGAAATGAAGGAAGACAAGGATGGAGGAAGGGGGGAAATATTCCTGATTTAGAAAACATAGTCTCTCCTTCCAGTTCCTTTTTTCTCTGAAGTAATAATTCCTGATGAGGATGTTCTCTCTAATAATGTTGTTACTTCTGTGTCTTTCAAGACCATCATGCAGTTTCTGCTTCTGGGCCCCAGGAACCCCTGGACTGGCCTTGAATGCTGTTGGCAGACCTCATGACTTAGAAAAAAAAATGGGAGGCAATGGACTAAGCCCTGTGTTCCTTTCTTGGTCCATGGAACCCCTATCTTCATAGTCATTCAAACCTGAGAGCTTGCAGTCATATTTTATTCCCTCTTTTCCCTGTGCTCACAGCAGAGGTGGTTATCATATTGACAGAGCCCCCTCCATCAGGACCTCTCTTCATTCTCCCTGGTTGTTACACTGCCTTGTACTTCTTCACAACCTCCTGTGATCTTCCTATCTGGTTGAATAATATTTTAGCCATCAGATTTATGCCTCAAGACAAGCTGTCTGAAAAGAGATAAATCTCCATGGACCCCATGGCATCAGTCTCTGAAGTCCTGCTCTAAGCAGAGTTAGGTTCCAAGAGGACATAAGCCCCTCTAGGGGCCTCCTATGGGGCTTACTCTGGAGCTACCATGGAAGGTACCTCCTTCATGGTTGATGTTCTTCCCTGGGGACCACCCTCTTCCTTTTCTCAGTTTACCCCTGGGATCTTCATACACACTTGTAAGGAAGCAGGGCCTCTCCAAGGCCTATGTGAGCCCATGTGGAATGGTTTCCTTGTGTTTCTGTTCCACAGCAATCTACACAATCACACACCACTCCATAGCCAAAGGCCACTTGTTACTCTGTGTCTGTTCTTTCACTAGAACTAAATTATTGACTAAGTTGGGAGCACATTTTCCATTGATATTAATACTACCTTCACTGTGATTGAATGAGAAAATTAATGCAAGGGATGAATAAAACCAAACATGAATTCATGTCCTCTGTATTTCAAAATTTGAGACTTTTCTATTAGAGGTGGTTCCTTTGTGAACAGAGAACAACTACAGATTCAATGATAACTCTTCAGGAGTCTTCAAAATCCAATTTGCAATATTTAATTATAGCAGATAACCTAAACAATATAATATGTGTTTGAAAAAGATTGCCTCAGATAATTGACTATTTTATAAATTTAAGGTGCATCTATATGTTTAGTATATTTGGGTTTATACTACTTATATATCTTACAATATAAACAAATATTAATGTGAAAATACTGATTACAAATTAATATATTAAACTTTTATAAAATGGAATAACTAAATAATATAATCCAGGTATGATTTCAATTTAAAGCAGTCATAAATTACTCAATCACTGGTAAATTTATGTTTTCAAATCTGTATATATATATATATATATATATATATATATATATATATATATATATTATAATTTTCATAGATATGAATGTTATATTAAATTCCCAAGTGTATTATCCTTCTTATCACTAAAATGTAAATACTGTTGTTCAATGTTTATTTTTATTTTCTGGTCCTGAGGATTGTACTCAGGGATGCGTTACCACTCAGCTACATTCTCATTTCTTTTTATTTTTCATTTTGAGACAAGATCTCACTACATTTCTGAGACTGGCCTTGAACTTTAAATCCTCTTGCCTTAAACATTTGAGATGTTGGGGTTACAGATGTGTGTCATGTACCCTGACTATGTAATTTAAAATTCTGTCTATATTTGCTTTCCAATTGTATTCGAGTTGAAAAATTCACATGTCATGAAGTAATTTATATTTTTAAATAATGAAGTTTCTAGGCAGGCAGTTGTGGCCTATGGTGCACATAGAGCTGCCAACATCCAGAAAATTATTCACTTTCTCAATTAGAACAACAGACACTTGGGAAATTACTGACTTATTCACCAAACATAAACAAGACTGATTTTCCTGACAGACCATCTGCATCCCCAACAGTGGCTAGAACAATAAGCATTTTCACTCATTTCTGAATATTTTCATGAGTCCTGCTACCTGAGGTCCTTTCAGGGCCTCTTATCCATGTGGCACTGCACGTAGTCAATGGTGGTTGATGTGGCTGTGACTGTCTCATGTTCACAAAACTGTGTCATGTGCTGACAATAAAGGTTAAGATAATTTCAACTGAGTAAGTAGAAAAGCAAGTGTCCACATATCTTGTCCTGAATGGCAGCAAATGGCAACCCACACGATTTGCCAACTCACCTCATTTCCATGTCCAAGCTGAAAAGATCCTTGTTTGGAACAAGGTTTTGTTATGAGAATTATATGACAAATTCTGTGCAAGCTAATAAAGTCAAAAACTTTATGTTCACCTTTTTTTGATCTTGATCTTTGAGGAATTATATCACAGACAACACTTCAGTACTGAAAAGTGAGCAGTCAAGGAATTCATGCGCAGATTCACCACTGCCTCAAGGTAATATTGAGGCAGGCTGTCTCTGAGGTGCTCAGGTCACCAGATCCCAGGATGGTGTGTTTGGATGTAAGTACTAGGGAGTGTGTTTATTGAGAAGTCAGGAGGTAAGCAGAGATTTAATAAGCTTCCTGGCCCTTCCTGATGCTTTCTTCTCAGAGATAGTAGTTGTGACCTCCCACACCATCAGTATCCACCTAGACCCACCCCAAAACACCTCCTGAGCATCCCCAATTAGAGGGTGCTGATCCAGGGCCCAGGATGCAATCAGGAGTCTCTCGTCACTGCTCTGGCTCCAAGTCTGGCAGTGCAGGCTTGCTAACAAGAACTGAACTCCAGCCTGAGGGTGAGTCTGCCTCCTCCTGTCAGTCTTATGACAAAAGCATCAGTGGCCCAGGCCCATGGGGAAGAGACAAAACAGCCCCTTCTTCATCTACCAAAAGAACTAACATGCAGCATGTTGCTTCTCTTCAGGCCAGGCCTGTGACTTCTTCTGCTGCCACTATTGAGGGCTTCACTGAGTCTCCAGGCACTGTCTGGGAATGCAAAGCCTTCTTTCCTGCGTCCTAGATTGATTCACAGCAACATTTTCTTAGGAAATGTTCTCCATAGAAACAGAAAGTCCTGCTCTTCTTTAACTTGATGAGCACAACTGGATCCAATGATCTCTTTAGCTCGAAGTTTAGGTGATGAGGCAGCCAGACCAACCGTGGTCAAGTCAGACTTTACCTCTGATGAGGAATCCATTCTTCCCTATTGCCCGGAGTTCCAGAGCTGTGTCATCCTCTCCTTGTCCCTCATTATGTCCTCCAGTGATTCTTGTTATAGACTATGTTTTATACTACTTTTCTTATTGTGGAATATTTGACAGATAATGAACCACCCAGGATTGAAAGGTTATACAAATTTCGAGATATGTGCACGCATTTGAAAACATCAGCACATAAAGTCAAGGAATCCACCCCACCACACAGGCCTCCTGTTCCCTTTCGCTAGTCTCCATCTATCTCTTCTAACAGCATCTCCAAGGCATCCAGTGACTTGCTCTCTGTGATATTTGTTCAGTTTTTTACCTTTTTAAAGTTTTATTAATGGAATCATACAGCAGGTATTCCTTCCTCAATGTCTTCCTTTACCCTTCAAAC